GCATTCCTGACCAAGAGCTCTGGGCAAATAAATGCTAGAGATGACCTGCAGTGGCTGAAGAAGCAGACCACGATGTAGCTCTAATTGTCCAATTAGTAAAATAAGGCTCCAGATCCATGACACGGAAACAAACAAACACTCTGAAGTCCTTCCGCCACAAGAAGGGCCCACGTGGCGCGCAACACCAGTTCTGTTGTATTAACTTGTATAAAACTAAAATATTGGTTATAAAATAATCTAACATTTATTTGCTGGCCTTCATAGAATTTAGAAGACTTTGGACACATATTGTAGGTGGACTAAAGTTCTTGAAAAACAAACAAAAAAGACAGGGTAAAACTGATGTTTATCCTTTCCCCTCAATAAGTTTCTCTTTAGCTGACACAAGTATTAAAAATGCTTTCAATCTATGTGGAATCTTAAAAAATGGTACAAACGAACCTATTTACAAAACAGAAACAGAGTCACAGATGTAGAAAACAAACTTATGGTTACCAAGGGGGAAAGGGGGGGGAGGACGGATAAATTGGGAGATTGGGATTGACATGTACACACTGCTATATATAAACTAAATAACTAATAAGGACCTACTGTATAGCACAGGGAACTCTACTTAATAGTCTACAATGACCTATATGGGAATAGAATCTAAAAAAGAGTAGATATATGTATAACTGATTCACTTTGCTATACAGCAGAAGCTAACATAATATTGTAAATCAACTATACAGTACTCCAATAAAACTTAACAAAAAAAGGTTTATCTCAAAAATTTTTTTAATGTTTCCAGTGTTTTTAAACTCATAGAGGGAAAGATTATACAACGCCCAAAGTGCCTGCCAGTATCCTCCAATTAATGGCGGGAGGTTGTCAGTACTCAAAGCTGCCCCACAGAGAGCTTGTCACTAATCTGAAAACCAGCTGGGCTTCAACGGATGCTTTCACTGCCTAGCGAATGGCTGACTTCCCTGGCGCCTGTTGCTTTCATTAGAGGCTCTTTATCGAAACAAATACTCTAATAAATATGCTTTATTAAGTTTCATTTTTTATTTTAGAAATCAGGCTTTTTATTTTTAATTTTTTTTAACTTACCCGCATTTTATGTCCTTAGGTGCCTTTCAGAGCCCAGCAGGTCTTCACTTAAATAAACAAACCATTAGGCTGAGACACTGTCTAAATGGGCACTATTAGCAGGTTAATAAATCTAGTCACTTAAGAATTTTAGCCTTGACAAAGATACTCCAGGGGGGGATAAATTAAAATATTCTAGCCTAAGGAAGCCTCCACACCAATGACTCAGTGCAAATACACTGAAATATTCACTCCCCTTCAGATCTTCCTGGCTTCTGCAGGAATTTAGACTAATCATCCTTTAGGCTCCATCTGGGTCAGGAGGGAAGACTTTCACGGCCTGGTTAACTACTAGGGACATTTTTCCTAGTGTGGGAGGAGGAAAGCAGGAATATTTGTTGGGGGGCTTTTGAGAGCTAGTGTGTGGGTTTGCTGAGCACTCCCGTGCACCCTGAGACCCCGGACATGTGAGGAGGTGGAGGGAACACCCCCTGCACTACCGGGCAGACTCACCCACCGCCGCTGCTCTTTCATTCATTCACTGAACACATGCCCTGCCTCTCCCTGAACCCAGTCTCTACCACTGGGCCCCCCACTCCCTTTGCTCCAGACGCACTGTCTCTTAAATAGGCTGACTTGATTCCCAACTCAGGACCTTTGCACTTGCTGTGCCGCCTGCCTGGAGCACTCTTTTTCCAGTTCATGAAGTCTCTGCTCAAAAGTCACCTTCCCCAAGAGGTTTCCTCCAGCACCTAACTAAGAAAGGATCCCTTCCACCCCACTCTCTATACTCCTTTTCGTAATAGCACTTGTCGGTATTGCATTAAGCCAGGTGTGGATGATTGCCCACCTCTCCATCAGAGTGTAACCGGCAGGAAGACAGAGCCTGTCTCTTGTTCATGGCCGCTTCCCCAGAACGATGCCTGGCACCAAGGAGGTGCTCAGTAGAGATTTGCTGATAAGTAAGCACAGCCATAAGGGAGGTACAGTTGGTAAGAGAACTCACCCCAGAGGAAGTGACATTTGTGGGAGGGAGTTAGATTTGGGGAGGAAGAGGTTACAGAGGAGAGAAGGCAGAGAAAGCAGGGGAAAGAGGCTGCAGAAATCACGTCAGAGTGATTGCCAGAAATCGCTGAGCCAGCAATCTCTGGATGATTGCAAAACCTTGGCGAAAGGTTAAAGAGGTGAGAAAGGGCACCCATGTCTGGCCCTCAACAAAGTATCTGCTGAGCTCCCCTCCAGCAAAAGTGCCCGGGGAACCTGCTCCTCCCTGGAAACCAGACCAGGGGAGGGAGAGCCACTGCCGAATGGCGCCCTCTTGTGGCCAGAGCCCCCAGAACGGGTGCTCAGACTATGGCTTTAGTGTGTGGCCCTACACTTCCCTTCTCTGATTCTGAGTCTCTCTTCCCTTTACCAAAACCAAACGACCAGACAGACAGACAGAAAAACAACCACCCAGTGTGGCAAAGTTGATCCTTTGGTAAGACCGCTCCTTAGACTTGCATTTTGAAGGGAGTTCATCTGTTTAAAGGTCGGGACTCCGCTGGACAATCATAAAGGCACCCACTTACTGAGCACGTCCCATGTTTGGAGATCATTAGTGTGTTTGTTAATGTAATCCTCGCAGTACTTGGGGTGACTCTCAGTGTCCCCATCACACAGAAGAGGAAGGTGAGGCCCGGAGAGGAAACAGCAGCCCAGCGGCAGGGCTAGCAAGCCGTGCTCAGGACTCACACCTGGGCAGGTGCTCCAAATCCACGCTCCAGCCGTGGTCTGGGGCCACAAGGATGGGAGAAAAAGGCCAGGCCTGGGCAGCTGAGGGAGAGGCCAGGACAGTGGTCGGCATAGTAGGGGACTAATGCCTCCACTACAGTCGTCTCCCTCCCCCTGAGCTGCCCCAGAGACTGCAGCCAAAGAAGCTGCCAATAAAGAAAGAAAAACTCCACGGCTGAGGCTGGTGCGGGACGTGGACCGGAGCCTCCTGGGGACCCTGGGAGCAGAGCCAGGGCTGTCACGGTGCCAGTCTCGGCCTGCCCCGACCCTGTGCAGGCAGCCCAGCACGGCGGCCTGAGCTCGGCCACGTCTCAGCCTCCTTCACCATTTATGGTAGCTGAGCCTCTGTTTGGCCTTCACAGGCCAGTCAATCCCCACACTGGGTGGGGGCCCTCGCTCACACAGGGCTGCTCTCAGAGCAGATCCACGTGGCTCTGGCAGAGTTCTTGCCGGGGACCTCTCTGTTTCTGCTCTGAAACATGCTCAGATGGGCAACCACCCAGGACCTGCCCCTCCCACAGACCTGGGGGCAAGGAGGACAGCCCCCAGGCCGAGTGGGAGGGCCTCCTCGGAAGAAGCAGGGCCAGTCCCTGGCTGGCTGGCCAGTGCCCACGGGCACTTCACAGGAATCGCAGAGAACTCAGAGAGGCTGGAGAGAGCCTCTGCAGCCAGGCCACAGCCAAGTCAGGGCACCAGTGCCATTCCTCTATCCCTAGGGGCGACAATGGCCAGCCCCGGGGGCGAGAGTCAGCCCCACTCTGGGGCCAGGGGACTTGCACTCTGCAAAAGGGCAGGAAGTTTCAGTGGCTTGGTGATCTGGGTTCAAAAGGCCAGTGTGGCTCACGACCTTGGGGTGCTTAGGCAAGTGACATTGATTTCTTGAGACCCTCAGACCCTTCTATGTGAGACAGGAAGAGCACTGCCCCCCACCCCTGGGCTGCTGCTGCCCACATACAGGGAGACTCTCCCCAGGAGGCCGAGCCCTGCGGGAACAGAGCGGGGAGGCATGTCTCCTGCTAGGCTGCTGGAAAAGCAGGGCACTGCGCATCTGTTCCAAGCACCCGGGCCCCAGTCACCGGGGGAGCTGGGGGCCCGGGCTCAGCTGGGGCGGGGGAGTCAGGCTTACCTGAACACCTGGGGCCCAAGAAGTCCTTCCCTGGCACTGTCACCATGCCTGCCGATACCACAGCCCAGACAGCTCTGTCTTGAGTCTGTGGTTCTTCAGGGACTTCCTGGGACTAAGCGCTTGGTGCTGATCAATGGGGGACAACCATAATAATCAGATTACTGGACACCAGGCTGGTGAGGTATAAGAGCAAGCCTGGGGCGCTGGGGAGGAGCAAGGGCAGAAGGAAAAGGGGGACAAACGGTGGCCCTCTGGAAGCCTCAATACTGGCACTCGTTACCCGGTGTCTCCCAGGGTCCCCCAGGGCGTGAGGGGTCATTTGTGAGAGCCTAAGTCCTCCAGGGATACTTTATATTTCAGTGTGTGCGGTTTTCTGCCTACCAGACTGGAAGCTTCTTGAGCCAAGGGAGTCTTTGCCTCTTTCCCCTGCATCTGCCCTCAGCCTTGATGGGGTGAGGCGGAGGGGGACTGGCCTTGCATGTCCATCTCCCACGGCAGACCCTAGTCACTGTGAGCTCCTGGAGGCCATCGCCTCCACCTGCCTGCCTTTAGGTGCGGTGCCCTTTCTCCAAAGCAGACGTGTTGGCAGGAAAGGTGCTTCCAGAGAGGTGTCCAGGGGCTCCTACCATGGACAGTGACCCGGGCGCTGCAGGACACCTGCCCCAAGGTGTTCTCGGCCAGACAGGTGTAGGCGCCATCGTCCTCTGGGAGGGCATCCTGGATGTGGAGCTCAGCCACGCCAGCCTCGCAGGTGGAGTGAGCATACTGGATGGGCTGCCCTGTGGAGGGAAGCACAGGAAGGCTCAGGCAGGGAGCACCCAGTAGCAGGGTGTGAGCCCTGTCCTCAGCAGGGCAGCTGTTGTCATGATGGTGATGTTCCCCATACTTGCTCAGCCCCACTGAGGGCTAATGATGTGTCAGGACCACCCCCAGCCAACTGGACAGAGGTTCGAGGAGGGGAAAAAGAGGCAGGTGCCAGGGAGGTAAAGGGGAGGGAGTGATTGTGTGTGTGGAGGAGCAAGGCCGAGGCTGGTAGGACTTGGGGGACAGATTCTGGAGGCACTTAGAATGCAAGCAGGAAAGGGACAGAGTTCTGTGCATTCTGTTTAAATAAACAGTCCCCAAATCCACATCCTAGACTTCACAGAATCCTGAGCCTGGAAAGAATCTGACAGGGTCATCTGGCCCATAGCCCAGCCTCAGGCAGAACAGACCTCACCCAGACTGCACATGAGGCTCCCGGCTCCTTTTAGATGTCTCCAGAATCAATGATTCCATTTCCCATTGCAGATATTTACCAGAAGCAATTCTGCACCCTCAACCTAACACTGCAATGACATGCATTTTAGGATTCACAGAAAAGATAAATACAGGGAACTAAAAAACGACTCTGGCCCTTTCTTCCAAGAGTCCCTTGCATGCAGGGCCCTTTATTCAGGTCACATAAAGTCCTGCATGGAGACAGAAGTGTGTGGCATGAAATTCAGTGGTTTCTTTAATGCTATATGTTCCCGGGATTTTATCATTCCAGGATGTGAGCTTTCATTTCCAGGAAAAAAAAAAAAAAGAAAAGGAATCTCATGACTGAAGATCCTGGCCTTAGA